TTTGCTGTTTGTTTAGTCTTTCTAGAATCGTCTGTTGCTACACATATTTGTTGTTTTTTTGGTTTACGCGTTTTGTTAATTTTATTTATAGTTTAATGTATTAAATATTATTTTATTATAATTTAGAATTTTATCATCTCAGAGAAAATAATTCTATTGGTGGTCATGAAAAAATTATTCGTCTTCAATGTGAAGTTAATTTTATTAAATTAATTCTATATGATCTTATTCAATATCTATTTGTAATTTTAATTTGCTGAGATATTCACAATCATCCACCTCCTCTACTATCAAAAGTTTCTGTTGGTATTCAAAATAATTTTAATTATTTATTAGAAAATGCTTCTAATGAATATGAAAATATAATATTAACAAAAATTTTATCTGGTAAATTATTTTATTTATGTTTAATTAATTTTATATATAATATTTTATAATTTAATAATTAATTTTTTTTAGGAAATATGTTAAAAGCAGTATTTGAAAAGAAATTTTTTTCTGAAATACATAGTTCTTTAAATAATTTAGATCATTTAAGATATCTTATTAACAAATTTCAAAGAAAAAAATATCTTCATGATCAAGATATTTTAGGACTTACCTATAATATGTGGCAAGAAAATAATAAATTTTCTGGTTATCTTTAAAAAATTGGTAAATATTTATCTAATTTATATTTATTACTATATAAAATTAAATTTATTAATAAAATAAATTTACCGTATAGTTCTGAAAATAAGCACCCCTTTTTTTCATCTAATGCTGGCCAAGATCATCATAATGCAGGCCAAAATTGGTTTAGTGCGGGCCAGGAGTGCTTATTTTCGGGGGTGCTTATTTTCGGAACTATACGGTATATTTTAGGAACTTTTAAAAATGGCGGTATTATAGCAATTTGTATATTTAAAGAACAAGCTTTAAAATAGTTAGAAGTTGAATAGTTTCAAATTAACTTTTTTTTAAAGTGAGTTCATGGTAAAGTTAAGGAATTTGAAATTAATTATTATTCTGAACAATATAATAAAAGTATTTAATTAATTTAATTAAATTTTTTTATTAATTGTTAAATTTAATTTTTTTTATTATTTATAGCTCTTATATTTGCAAGAGTTTTTATTAATATTTGTAATGCAAATATATATTGTCAAATATTTAAATTATTATTTCAATATATTAAAAACTTAACTAATCAAATACTATTATTTTATCATATTCACAATTGTGGATAGAAATACATTATTAGTGATTTGGATCAAAGACAAGCAAAAAGACTTGAAATGTATTTAGAAGAAATTGATCATACTAAAAATTAGAAAGAGCATCTTCAATCAATTTTTAAAATATATATAATACATTTTAATAGATAAGTAATTTTTAAAATATTTTTAATAAATTAAATTAAATCAAAGAATATAAAATACAAACTCTTCCTGCTAATCACTTGTACACAAATAAACAGAAAACAAAAATGGCTAAAACTCAACAAAGGCCATAGAAAACACCTGATAAGGCTTTAGAGAAAAAGGAAGAGCAACAAAAACAACAGATATCTAGCTTAGAAACAAATAAAATCAAACTTGCAACAAGGGAAATACTCAAGAAAAATGAAAATTTCGAAGAAATTTTTGACAAAAAGTGGGTGAACCACTTG